CGCCTTTAGACGCGGCCCGTGGTGTTGCCGGTGGGGGTTCGGTACCGCTCTGCGGTGCGGTGTCACGGTGAAATCCTTTCCGGTACGTGGGAAAGGCCTGTTCGGTGGATAGCTGGTTCTGGAAGGAAAGTACGGGAGATAAACACATTTGGGCCAACCTTTTGTAGTGCTTTCTGAAAAAAATACCCCAAAAGTTTTAGGTGGGGGAAAAAACCAAAAAACCCAACTGCTTCAGAGCTCTGCTGTAACTTGGCCGCGCTTTGCGTCATCACCACTGAAAAGCAGTCACTGTTTACACTGCTGCTGGGCGTGAAACTGCTTTTTAGTGGCTCATAAGTGGAAAGGGAAATTACAAAGAACAATATTAATAAGGCATTATTGAAGTGAACGTCTGGATTGTTTTTCCAGCATTTATGCTTACTTTTATTTTAGATTGGATAATAAACTAGCAGTGGGGTGTGTGGTTGATGGTTAATGCCTTAGTTCATCAGTTGCAAAACCTACAGTATAATTTAGAAACTCTGTGAGAACATCAATTTAGTAAGCAAGTATGTAACTGCCTTAAAGTTTATCATTTTTTACAAAATAAATTCCTTGCACATTAGCAAAAGTTTAGTGAATCCAACATCAAAGTTTAAGAAATTCTACTGATGTTTGACTTACCCTACAGGACAGCAAGTACTTCCTAAAATTGCAACAGGAACATTAAGCAAGTAGAAACGGGGGGGGGGGGGCGGGGGGGGGGTGGGGGGGGGGGGGGGGGCGGGAATCAGCAGACAATTATATAAACACACAACTTGGAAACTATTGTGATAGTTTTAGAATAGTCATAATGTCAGAAAAGTTAAATTAAGCCAGTGGCTTAATTAACAATGAAAAAAAAATCTGGATTTACTTTTAATATTTGCTTAACCCTAGAACCTCTTATTTCAAAGGAGTTCAGGAAAACACTTGTTTTACCAATTTCCTTGTTTTCAACTACTTGACAACATGCCCAGGTGTCTTAAAATCTCAAAGCAAATTCCCAAACCAGTTTTACTGCTGGAAGTGAAAAGATGTTTAGGCAATATAATCGGGGTCAGGAGCTTTAAATCAGAGGCTTGAGGACCATTCTTTCAGGTTTTTGACTCTGTGCTAGGTTTTAGAGAGAAATTAAAAATAACAGTAACAACTGAGGCTTCAGTCCAAGCACAATGATAGGAGTAGCTGCCTCCATTTCAAATGACAGCTCAAAAATCACCCTTCTCTCACTTCCCCTCATTTCTGCTCTCTCTTCCTCTCACTTCATGCAAATATCCTTAACAATCACCATCTTTCCTAGACAAGCACAGTGTAAGGTATTAGCAACTGCTTGGAGATATTTTTTTCCTCTAAGAAATGTTAACTGAAACTTGTAATAAGCCTAGAATAGGACTATCCTTTTTCTTTTTAAAAGCCTTCTCCTCTGAAGGGGATTTGGTTATATTAGACAACAGAAACTTTTAGTCTTCCTGAAGGGGTGAGGTAACTAGCACCTCCCTCTCAGTACCTAGTCTGCTCTTCCCCCAGTATCGTTATTTTGGGCAACTCTTTCACTGCACAATGAGGAGTAGACTTAAAGGAACTTAGGTCTTTTCAAGACTTACTTCAAAAGTATGGGGTAAATGTCTAATTTAGAAAAGGGAAGAGGATCAAAGTACTGGGATGAAACTGGCAAAAACATCAAGATCGTTTACTGCTTACGGAGCACCCACCAAAACAGTCATTTTTCTATTGTTACAAGGACCTAGGGTAGCCCTACCCTAACACTGCTTCAGTGCAGCACTGAGGATCAGTGAAGACCTGTACAATGCAAAGAACCATGCAAGAATACCACCACAAAATCTTAAGTTTTTACTTCACCACCAGTTTTCCAACCAAAAAAAGAAATTTTAAAAAAATCACTTTCACAGCACACTGTGAGAATGTCACATGTAGCAACACAATATTCTGCTTGATAAAGAGCAGCATCAGAAACAGCAATCAGTTAAAAAGAAGTTGATCAGAATTAATTTCTTAATTCCAAACCACCCCACTGCATCAGTTCATCTTTAAATGCATTGTTTTGGCCAGAAACATTGCTAGATTTTTAAAACTTGCTAAAATAGAGACTGACATTAAGAATAAAAGCATGAGAAAGACAAATTTGAGTATTCTTTTTGCGCTTCTAAGCAAAAAGCTTCATGATCAATATTTAGTTTTCGTAGTCTATGATCATCTTCAGACTGTTTGATGCTCTATTCAGAATTTCTGTTTAGGGACAGGATTATTATACAGGTGGGGGTTTTTTTGTTGCTTGCACTGAGTTCTTGGAACCACTTGTATATTAAGAGTGAAGCTAACCGAACTTACTCTTTGTTCCACAACATTGATGCAGCCCTCAGGATTTCCTGGCACATCACCAAAGAAGTCCTCTGCTAGTTGGATTCAAACCTGTTTCTCATGTAATACCCAGTTGCATTTACAGAGATAGTTAGAGCCATATTCCATGTACTTCAAATAAAAAGGTCCAGACTTTTGCACATATAAAGACATTGGTTTGTTAAATTAACATTTGCATATGATTGCAACACATAGTTTGACTTTTCATTTTGTCCTTGATGGAGATGGATGAAAGATTTTTTAGTTTTTCATGTAGCAAGGGGCAGGGGGGGAGAATAGGGACTCTCCTAGTGTGCTTTCCCACTAAATACTTTAGACCATCTAGATGATTATTTTAATTATTATTTTTTTTTTAACTAAAACATATAAGCTCTGAATCACGCAAAATATGACCACCTCAGCTACATTGGTCTAACGTAACCGGGCGATTGGTGAAGTTGTCAGACCATCCAAAGAGGTAGTGACAGTCTATTCTCACAGTGCCAGCCTGATGTGTAGGCTAAGTTAAAAAAAAACACCGAGGCATCACTGTATGCTCGCTGTGTTTTCCATTTTGGTTTTTCCAGTCAACCACTCTCTCTTGACATTGGTAGTTGACGTTTACCACTGCGCCAACATAGTTAGAAGCAGTAAATTTGTGTTTCATTTCATTAGCAGCTATACACTCAGTGCTATTCATCATATATAGGGGGGTCTCCATCGCTTGAAAACATTGACAGTTTCTTTCCGTGATTCTGCACATGATCTTCATTCATCTTCTCCAAAGCTTCAATCTAGAGAGCCAAAAATAAAGCCATGCTGAAATCATAAAACCACACCTGCACCAGAATGTTTCTAAACAGCATTAAAAGGCAGCTTTACATGTCTGATCAGATATATACAATATTCCTACTTCAATGATTCAGTCACATATATGGAAGCAACATAGTTTATAAGTACAGATTGAAATACCAGCTCTCAACAAGTTCCTAGAAGAGCAGCACTCCTTTATGCTAGGTAACTGAATGCATGAGTTGCAGGGAGGACTGGATGATTCTTAAGACTTCAGCTGTATTCCCCAAATACAGAAGTGTCCCTTTCTCCAACTCCAAACATCTCTACTCTAACTCAGCCACTCCGTCAACACTGGAGAAATTTTAAGTAATATTAAAATTACAAATCCACTGCAACCATCTTTAAGAGCGAAAGTTGAAGATGGTTACACTTCAATGTTTTGTGCAAAGTAACACAGTACAGTAGCTTATTTTGATCTTCAGATTGTTATGCTTGGATTACTTCCTCTTGTACTCCAGGGGAGATAATTTTAGTTACTGGTGACTAAAGTCAAAGGATAAGCTGCTCAAATTCACCTCTATGTAACAGCTATGTAAGTCTTTCCCATAAAACTTACAACAACAAAAAAAACCAACCCACCTCCCAGTGCTCACAACAGTCACTGACAGAATTGGTTTTCACTTGATTAACTGATACATAAGGATCTTGGAACAGTGACATTGTGTTCCCTGTATCCCTTCCTCACTTTGAGGACTACTCCAGGAGTTAACTAGTTTCAAGCTCCCACGTACCATGTGCTAGAGTAGCATAAACCGACACGGTCATTAGGAATCCAAGTAGAGTGGAATAGCCATGTTGCCCTTACTTTAGTTAGTAAATACGGAATGTTTGACAACTTATTTTTATACGTCTGCTATGAGGATGCACACCTTGAGGAGTTACAGCCAAAATTTGAAAATTAAAAGCCAAAAGGTGACCAAAGATTCCTAGTCCATATTTCTGTTAGCATGATTTTAGGTTTGAAAAATTGAAAATGCTAGCCTAAACTTTAAATTAAACTAAGTTAAAATCTGAAACACAAAAGATAAGCTGTAGAACAATTATTATTTTTTAACCCAGTTCTCCTTTCTCTGCACAACCTTTAACATATGTAAGGAAAGACAACAAAGCTAGCCTTTAAAGCAGCTCACTAAATTGTCCTCAACACTGAAAGAAGCAAGTTATATGCAACATGAAGCCTTTTATGGCTAGGAGCAGGAAAAGGACAGGGTGGAGAGAGGTCTGTCAATCTGAGTTTCTGAAAACATTTGTACTAGGTTGAAATAATCAAGTTTTGAAAGGAGAGATGCAGAATGATTGCTGAAATTATACTTCCACACACAAATCAACAAACTAAATGTGGAAAGTTAAGGCATTACAATAGCTACTATAGCTAACCAAATTAAAAGTATGAGACACAGAGAAAGCTATACCTCTGCTTGGAAGTCTACTTCATTGTCAGCTGTAATATTTAAACCTGAGACAGCATTGAAGAGTTCACGCTCATTAAGTGTTTCTGCCACACCTCCTTTCTGGAAGAACTAGTCAATATAAAAAGCACACGTTAAACACTTTACTACACAAAACAAAATATTCCTTTTCCTTCCCCAAGTTACAACTACAATATTTAGTCAAAATGACCTTTTTGCTTTTGTTGACCTACAGAAGAAAATATCTGGAAGAAGTTCTAAGTGCCAGTGGTACCGTTTTACTCTTCCACACTTTTTTCCCTTTTGGAGAACACCACCATCAGTATGGACAATACAGTAAGAGTAATCTTACATATAGGTGGTGGTAATCATTTTTTACGGAGTTGCACTGGTTGATTTTTTGTTAGCTCTGAATTGATTTGATACTGTTTTATCTTGAAAAACATTCAGCATTACAGAGGATTGTCAGATGAAGAGGTCCTACCTGTGAAACATTCCTACAGTCTCTGAACAAAAACTCGAGTCCATGAGGATGGGTTGGCTCCACGGACTGACTGACATCAATAAGCCAGACCTGTAGTCACAGAGGTGGCAATTCACTTTGTATTCACTTTGTATTAACATTTCACATTAGATGAAACCTCTCCTTCCCATGTTAAGAATATGCTCACCTTCCCATCATGCCAAAGCATATTATATTCACTCAGATCAGCATGGACCAGGTTGCACTCCTTATACAACTGCTGCATCATCTGTAAGGAAACAAATTAATGAATGAAGTGTGCTATACTCCAAATAAATATAGTTTGCATTACTATAACAAAACAAAGCCTTTCCCCAATCACCCACCCAATTTATATAATTTTTTCCCAAGTATTCAATAAAGTTTCACCCAGGGAATGGCAATCAGTCTGGTAAACTCATGTCAGCTCTGCCAACTCTGTCCAAGTGCACCAGACTGATAAATACATTCTCTGAATACACCTGTCATTCTCACCCCTATCACACAGGAAAAGTCTCACCGGTTTAGATACTGAATCCTAACTAGTATGTATATTCACTTGAAACATTCTTGTGTTTTAAGTGAATTTTAGTCTAGTCTCAAGATTTGAGGCACAGACCATTCGCATTATCAAGCTGCAGAGTTGGTTGGTGGCTGTTTTTTTTTAACGTCTATAGGAAGCCAAAAGTGAGTGGACAGTTAGCAGGTACATGTTTAAACCAATTACAGCAGATAATAGGAAAGTAAAGTATCCACCATGAAATATTCTAATTTATTCTCTGATTTCTAGATTTGCAAAAAAAAAAAAAAAAAAAAGGGGGGGGGGTAAGGACAGGGCTATCTACTGGAGAGTGCTTACACATTGTAAATTAAGTATTCAGTAAGCCCAGAAAGATTTCAGAGTACTTTCTAAACCACATACTGCTTCTATGAAAGGAGGACTAATTGCTCATAATTTCTCTGCTGCTAAATATCTCTTTGTCATCAAGTTCTAGCATGTTTTCTACTCAGATTAAGATTCGATTTATTTTTTTTTAGCGCATAATTTCTTATTTACTCTATGTCACACATTAAACAGCAGCAAAATAAGCCTTTGGACTCCGTATCTTGAAAGTGATGCAAGCATCCTGAAAAGTAAATAAATGCTGATTTGTCCTTTAAAGAAGACAACCCAGAATTGGAGGAGAAATCAGCATTGTCTTACATTAAGAATCTGATAGTAGGCCTTTTTCATATCTTCACTACTAAGTGTTACATCCTTTAGTTTAGGAGCTGGGACTTGATCCTGGCCAATGAAAGACATAACCAAGACGTGTTTCTTAAGCATAACCACTTGAGGACAAGGAATTCCTGCATTTTGCATTCTGTGGATCAGAAAATAGATACTGATTAAGAAAAGCAAAACAAAATATTCTAAACCCTACAGTTCTAGTCCCTGCCTCCCCACTTCAAATCTTAAGAGAGCTGTGAGAAACTTGATCCAGAGTCAAAAAGCATTTGAAATAGACCAAATTGAAAACTGAATATATATATTTCACAATATTTCACATAGGAAAATTCAGATCTTAAAGTCATAAATGGGTCTAAAAACACTCACTGAAAATTAATTACTTTAACAGGCTCTAGCTGTACATTTAATTGGCTTGTAAATACTGCTGCCAAATCACTGAAAATGGTGACAATTCATTAAACTGTAATAAACCAGAGACTTACTCAGTCTGTGCCAGGGTGTATATTGTGTAGCCTAAAAATTAAAGTTCTACCCAGACATAGTGTAACTTCCTTAAATAGAGAATTGGAAACTGACAGGTATTTGGCAACAACTAAACTTTTTTTTTTCTTTACCTTGTCAAGTTATGCATTTCTTTCTCAGCCCACATACGAATAATCTTTCGTGGATTCAATTTACTGAAGCGGTCTTTAAATCTGTAGTCATCCTTAATATATTTGTCACGGTTCTTGAATTCATTAAGAGTTGTTTTAAACACTTTGATGGCACATTCTGGAGGTATAACTTTATCTTCAGTTGCACTTCAGGTGGAAAAAGTCAAATATATAACAAAGTTAACTATTCACATCTTTACAAGCAAATGCATGGGTATGTTTTTTTATTTTTTAAACACTGCAAGATAGAGCGATTTTTAACATAAGAGGGGAAAAGGTCTGATTTGCTATCAAATTTGGAAGCCGCTTTAAGTTAAGTTTAGAAGAGTTCTATGACTAAGCTTACATATGAATGTTTGGGTTTTGGCATTTTGATTGCATGTTGCTTACCAAAAAGGTTCCATCTCCCAATTTCTTAGTATTTTACTTAAATGTCATAGCTAATAACAGCCCTGTTCATGGATGTACTTGCTTCAAGAAATTACAAGTGAAAAAAGTCTTGCATTAGAACAGTAACAGTAGTATCACAATGTTTTCTTAAGCACCACAAAGATATTGCCCATTGAATAATACTAAGCAAAAGAACACTCCTGATCATCATTCAAGCAATGGTCAATTAAAAAAAGCAAACAGAAACCAACACAAAACCAGCATCTTTTCTCCCCACCCCCAACTTACCTCTCTCTCGACATCTCTAAATAGGTTACCTGTATTTGGGTTTTATTACTTCTTTCTTAACTCACTTTAAACTAGTGGTCTTTCACTGCCTTATGATCACTGCTAACATACTACAATCCTTCCAGCATGGTAGGCTTTAAAACTGGACTCTTGCATGACTTGCAAAGTGAACAGCATCTCAACACTATTCTCACGGTAAACAAACAGCACCTCCACTGAGCTGCACAAGTGGAGCTGATAACACAGAAAGGTATAGTGGATTTGTCCCTGTTCAGTAAATGTTCTCCAAGGAGGAAAGTGGGAATTTTTTTTTACCTTTACAGTTGGTACCATCTGTTTTTTCAAATTTTATTATTATATGCATGTACATAAATACAAACTTTTAGTCTTGGGAATGAAAAAAGTGCAGGTTGTTTTAATATTTTTGTGGTTTCTGCTTTTTAAACTATCTCTAGTACTTAAAGCTACTGTCAGTAACAAACAATATACTTACTTTCCTCCATATGCATGAAAAACAACAGATTCTTTTCCTGTGCTGATGCAGCCTGTGATGGTCTCCAGCATCCCAGCATTGACCATCTTGTACAGAAGTAAACGTGTTTTAGGATCCACTGCTTTCTCCTACAGTCAAGAAATAAATACTCAGTTTATTAAAATAATTATTTGCTTTACAGTGAGTTCAGAGTATTTATACACTGCAAGTGTTCAACTAGGCGGAAAGAATAAAGTATTGAGAGCATTCTCTCAACTGAGAGAAAAAAGCCAACAAACCAAACAGATGAAACAGAGCCAAACTGCTCCAGCACTGTCATCTTTAGTCCTTAAGATTTAATACTCTCAGGTACCTATCAGCTGTGTAGCATATACAGTATTTTACCAATTACACAAAGTACATACTGTGGGTCAAAAGTACTTTCTATAGTGTTTTCAAGAAGTCTTTACAAATCATGAATCAAAATATCCCAAATATGATATTCCTTTTATATCAGTAACAATAAAGTGAAACACCCAAATCTGAAGAAGTCCATAACAGGAATTAACAGAGGCCTTCCTATAAACTCACCCATAAAGCGTATCAACTGACTTCCTAAGTTATTATGTCAGAATTTATTTGGTCACCTCATCTTCCTGAAACTTGCTATGAAGACAAATATTTGGAGTCACATGATTTAGCTGCAGATGATTAGTCCTCTGGATGGTTTCTATAAATACTTTCTAGGCAGTTTATTTATTAGAACTGATTAAGAGACAAGTTTAGAAAGACAAAGAGAGAAAAATGGAAGCTGCTTGTTCTTATTTTGATACAGCTGTCACAACAATGCAGCTCAGATAAAGACTGTCTTTTTCTAGTAGGAGCTGGCTGATACCATCTCCTTCAGCAACGTTAACATAATATTGCTTAACTGTTTTACTAAATATCAAATGTTTCAAAGAATTACCAAAGCAGTGTTACACAAGATAAAAAGTATATAGAGAAAGTCTATTAAAAACATACAGCAGTGGAGTGCTCCTTCTTTTCATGGAGCCTTGCACTTCGACGTTCCTCAGAGTAGGCATGCTGCTTTAAGGCATTGAAGACTTGATTTGACAGCTTTAAGTCCATCCCAATTCCATCCCCAACTTGGAATTCAGGTGCAAACTACAAGCAGAAATAATAGAAGTTTAGGCATTGTTACTAGCAGACACCAGAAGATGGCACAAGCAGAAATTTCTCATTGTGATTTGCAAAAGACTGGGGTAGATTAAGATCTATGTGAAACCCATTTTGTGTAATGTTGTCACTATGTTAAAAACCAAATTGCTCTAAACTCAGAGCTCAAAGTTCTGCCCACATTGATATGAGATTACCTAATATCCTGTAAAAAGGGCACTTGCAGCATTTCCATATTTGCAGTTGTACCAGTTACATTAAAGAAAACAGAAGGTATGTGCTATGGATAAATAGACTGAAAAGCTGCAAGTCAAACAACGAACTGAAAATTAGTTACTTGACTCATCAGACAGAATTATTTTAGTTTTTTTAAATTAGGTTACACAATAGCTATGCTTTTCAAAAATAGCTTTGGTGTTTTATTTGTCTGTGTACCAAACTTGTGATAGTTTTGTTTTGCCAAAATAGTTCTGTGCAAATTCTTGAATCATGGTCATTAACAAACTATTATTAAACAAAAAAACCTGCACAACTCAAACTGCCCATTTGAATAACTAATCTAGACACCACATTGCTTTCATGTGATGAAAAAAAAAAAAATCAGCACCATATACAATAGTACAGACGGACAAGCATTAGTTGGTTGAATTATAGCATTCCAGTTTTACACACAAAATAAGTTTTCACTTACATTTTCCATGCGAGCAGTGTTCTTTCTTCCACATACCACTTCATCATGTTTAGTAGTAATGTCTTTTCCTTTTCCTATGAAGCCCTTTCTCGGTGTAGTAGTAGGCTTATCTGCCAGCAGTGAGAAAAATAAATCTAACTTTACATTTAAACAAACATAACTAATGCTCATAAACATTCCACAATGCCCACAAAGGTAATGTAATTTTATTTATTAAAGAGAATACAATACTTCAATTGTATGATCTTAATGCAGTCTTCTCTTATCCTAAACATGACAGCTTCTTTTGCTACGTTATGACTGACGTCTGTGTCTCCTCTGGACATACCTTTGGCATGTTAAAGACAGGAATATTCAATATCACGTGCAGATGCCCCTAACCAAATGTAGATGACAGATACATATATCCCACAATACTTTCCATGTACAACAGTTACTTAACTAGATTCAGCCACTGAAGCCAATATACCGGCCAACAGAAGCCTGAAGTTACCCGCCCAACTTCCTGCATAACCTCTCACAATTAGGTGACCTGATTTTACATAAAACCAGTATGTATGCTTACATTACAAAAAACCCTAATTTAACTATGTCATATTCTTAGATCTATTCAGCAAAGAAATTGTATTGTTTAAAACTGCCACATACCTGCTCTATAAGGATCATGACGAGTATCCTGCCAATCAACCTCATCTTCTGAGCTGTCACTGTCATAGGGATGTACCTTCCGATAATTTTCAAAGGATATGGAGACTTGAGAAACAAAACAAATAAGGATGTGATTATCAGGGATTTGCTACTTCCTCACAGCTCTGTCAACTTAAGCACAGTGCCAAGAATATCTCCAAAGCAAAAACATATTTCTTCTGATGAGGGTACCTTTGCTGTCTCCATTGATCTTCTTCTCTTCACGCCGAAGCTGTGCATCATATTCCCTGTCAAATTCCATCTGCAGCATCTGAGCTAGCATCAAGTCACTAGAAGTGTCAATATTTTCTCCTGTAATAAACGGTCCTTCAGCAACACTATGTAAAATGAAAACAGAAATTTAAAAAATTAAACACAGTAATCTAAACAGAAGCACTGCTTTCTACCATTTCATCTCTCTGTACAAAAGATCTCATACAGAGCTGCATAGAAACTAATCTCAACTGTCCACCCCCACCTCCAAGCCAACACTAAGTATTAAGAGAGCATGACTTCATTTCTCTATGCCACTCCTTTATAATGCACACATTACTGAAATTTTACTTGTTTACCATTTTGTAAGAAGGATTAGGCTCTATTTTTAAGATGCTCTTCATGAAATTGAAAGAAGGCATACAGGTGTGTGTGTGTGTGTGTGTATACATTTATA